AGTAGTTTGGACAATTTGTGGATATTCCCCATTATATCTTTTAGTGATTGGCTGTCATTAATACAAATCCCGTTTTTGAACGATCTTATTCTCAAGTCATTATCTATAACTACACAAGATTCAATTTTAGGTTTATCATCTTCAGTTGACATAACTTGACAAATATATACGCTTTCCTTATTCAAAGCTGTAAACCCATTTTCTTGTGGGTCATTTATTGGTAGGTAGATCTGTGGTTGAACTTGAAGACACACTCTGGAAACGATTAGGATACGCATCATGAGTCAATTTTACCCGATCGCGTTTGACATTAAGCAGGCCCCACAGGCTCCGGTATATCTGCAGGCTTCCGGCCTGCAGACTAACCCAGAAATAGGGGGGTCACTCTTCAGAATATCCGAAGGCAGGCGAGGATTTAGGTGCCCCAGTTTGTTCGTGCAACATGACATAAGCAGATGATGACGCTCTGGCTGTTGTTGGTTTCTTGTTAGCTGTAAACTGTAGTTAAAAGAAAGTGAGAAGAAAGTTATGGACTAAATATTGGTCACAGAAAAAGAAAGTTTATTCACATCCAAATAGCTTACTAATAAATGTCTGGTAGGAACCGTTCTGGAGGCAGCTAGAACCCTAAAGAATATATAATCCCCCAAAAAACTAATCTATCAAAAAATCTAAAATAACCAATAACCAAATCAAAAATAACCGAATCAAAAAACTAACCCTTTCTCTACCTCAGGTGGCCTATTTATTGATCCGATAGCTACTGAGTGCAAAGCCCTCAGTGTTTACAAAACACCTCCAGCACGCTTTACAGCAAGCAAGGCCTGACCACAGGTCATAAACCTAGCTTGCCTAGGCTACCCTCCTTTACAAACATACCAAAAGTCCTGACTCCTAGGTGGTGAGCCAGGCGGTGGAGGAGCGAAAGGGGGGTAGGGGGGGGGGGGTTAAAGGTACGCATTCTGGGTTTTTCGATTATATCTCGAAAACTATCAACTTTTTGTACACTATACTAAATTATGAAATTGAAGAAGATTAAATTTTCTACAAGAAAAGTATACAGTGTGTAAATTAAGTATCGAAACAAATCTGTATTAAAAAAAAAAAATAGATAGAAATATTCTGTTTGTGGCAATAATTGTTAACAAAGATTCCGCAACTTTTTACATCAAAAATATTTGTTTACCCCCCTAAACTAACTAGGGGGTAGGGGGTGACTTATATTTTTCTAAAAGCAACCCCTATTGAGTGACCCCTCATTTTGAAGGGGTTGTCAAAAGAAACACAATGACGCAAATCTGAGATGGATATCTTACCCCTAGGCAAAATGGTAGGTATTCCAAAATTTGATTTACCATGTGAAAAAGCACTAATTTCACCAAGATTCCGCTACTTTTTACATCAACCATATTTTTTAACCCCCTAAACAGGGTAGGGGGGTGGGGGTGACTTATTGTTTTAAAAAACAAACCCTATTAAGTGACCCATCATTTTAAAGGGTTTGTCAAGACATCATCAATGGTGCACGCCTGAAGTCATTGTGTCGACCCTAGCGAAAATGGCAGGTATTTTAAAAAAAATATTGAGTGAAAAAGCACCCATTCCAATTAAAAAATTTAAATTGCTGAGAAAGCTACTCTTAATGAGTGTCCCCTCATTTTATAGCCCGTGTCACGCTAATAACAATGATTTAAGATTACTAAACATATGGTGGTCACGAACGTCTACGTTTGAAGCACAATTTAAAAAGGTAACAAGTACTTTGTAGCCATAAATAATAACACAAAATACAAACTTAATACTCTAAAACACAAAAATAGTATAGTTATTACTAAGTAATGTTTGATATTACCTTGATAGTTTATAAATGCTCGAACTTATGGCCAAGACAAATTCCTAAACTATTGTAAAATTCATTTAACACTCTGCCAATCGTTTGTTGATCAATCTACCGCGCTTCCGTCAGAACCCTCACTGAAAGCTCTTGTAAGCTTTCTGGTCGGTTTACATACACTTTACTCTTTAGGTATCCCCATAAAAAATAATCCAAAGGGGACAAATCAGGAGATCTCTCGGGCCATTCGATAGGACCTCTTCTACCTATCCACTTATCAGGAAAAGTTAGGTCCAAATAGTCCCTTACATTTACAGCGAAGTAGGTTGGGGCGCCATCTTGCTGAAACCAAATACTTTCATGCACGGAATGTTCTTCATCTTCAGGAGGAAACTCTCTAGAAATAGCGGGTACAACAGATTCACGCAGCAGATCCAAATAACGATCGCCATTTAAATTACCTTCAATTATAAAAGGTCCAACTATCTTAAACCCAAATATTCCTGCCCAAACATTATAGTCCAGTAAATAGAGGTATGTTAACTTACAAACGGTCCGGTAAGTCTAAATTTTTTATATGTTGTCTAGGATGGTAAGTAGGTGTTAAAACCGCAAAATGCACAATTCTACCCCCTCCGCGCCCACCGCCATATTGAAAAATCGATAAAATCTGTACTTTCTAGAGATTTTCGCCTATATCTCCGTTTTGGTGCGTTTTAGCGAAATATATGTAATGCAAATGTTGTAGACAATTAAATTTCCTATAATATAAGTATAACAATTTGGTTCTAAGACTTATGGTTACGAAAATAGTTAAACTTTTATACAATAAAACATAAATTTTTTGTTATTTTGACAAATCTCTATTAGTCCAAGCAAACTAAAAAAACTGACACAGGGAACGTTAAAAAAATTGCAAGAAAACGTTTTATGGTTTTATTTTGTAGTGTTGGGTCTGCAGAGTGATATACTAAAAGTTGCCAAAAATCGGTCTACAGGAAACCCCCTAAAATCACGATAAAAAATGGCGGTTTTTCTCAACATTGGACAAATTTGAAAAAAATATACCACATGCATATTTTATTCAAAATTTTGTGAGATTTTGACTTGGGACGACCACCGAAGTTTATTGGGTGGTTAGTACTTAATTTACATGGGGAACTCATTTTGGCCGCCATCTTGGATCCGCCATATTGGATATAAATAAAGAAAATTAAATGCAATGATGACGTTGTGACACATCATTATAAACCAGATTTTCACGCTGATTTCAATGCCGAAATCCGTTTTTTTTTTTTTTAAATATATTTACGTTTTGAAGATATGTTCAAACGAAAACTCTCCCCCATACATTTCTTATGGACGTTTCGTACTTGGAATGTTTTTAAATACCATTTTTGTTATATCTCCAGTTCTTATCAACGCTTGCAGTTCAGTATAGCCTTTAAATATTCTGTGATGTAAGCGCTTTCACCTATTAATCATTGAAATCAAACGAGTTAGCGAAGAGCTACAATCCCCAAAACAATAACAAAGATTAAAAAAAAGTTAAATTTCATATTGTCTTAGGTTTGTAGCTCGTTGCTAACTCGTTCGATTTGAACGATTAATAGGCCAAATGAAAGCGCTTACATCACAGAATATTTAAAGGCTAGACTGAACTGCAATAGTTGATGAGACCTGGAGATATAACAAAAATGGTATTTAAAAACATTCCAAGTACGAAACGTCCATAAGAAATGTATGGGGGAGAGTTTTTGTTTGATTATATCTTTAAAACGTAAACAGATATTTAAAAACGGATTTCGGCATTGAAATCAGCGTGAAAATCTGGTTTATAATGATGTGTCACAACGTCATCATTGCATTTAATTTTCTTTATTTATATCCAATATGGCGGATCCAAGATGGCGGCCAAAAATGAGTTCCCCATGTAAATGAAGTACTAACCACCCAATAAACTTCGGTGGTCGTCCCAAGTAAAATCTCACAAAATTTTGAATAAAATATGCATGTGGTATATTTTTTTCAAATTTGTCCAATGTTGAGAAAAGCCGCCATTTTTTATCGTGATTTTAGGAGGTTTTCTGTAGACCGATTTTTGGCAACTTTTAGTATGTCACTCTGCAGACCCATCACTACAAAATAAAACCATAAAACGTTTTCTTGCAATTTTTTAACGTTCCCTGTGTCAGTTTTTTTAGTTTGCTTGGAGTAATAGAGATTTGTAAAAATAACAAAAAAATGACTTTTTATTGTACAAAAATTTAAAAATTTTCGTATCCATAAGTCTTAGAACCAAATTGTTATACTTATTTTATAGTAAATTTAATTGTCTACAATATTGCAATTACATATTTTTCGCTAAAACGCACCAAAACGGAGATATAGGCGAAAATCTCTAGAAAGTAGAAAATTTTTCGTTTTTTCAATATGGCGGTGGTCGCGGAGGGTGTAGAATTGTGCATTTTGCGGTTTTAACACCTACTTACCATCCTAGACAACATGTAAAAAATTTTGACTTACCGGACCGTTTGTAAGTTAACCCCCCTATTTTTGTCTCTATTTACTGGACTATTATTTCTGAGGTCTTTATGTAGGACATTCTTGAGCCCAATGTGGATTTTCATCGGACCAGTATCTTGAGTTTTGTCTGTAAAAGTGACTATTGAGGCCGAAGGAGGCTTCATCGGAAAATACTATCTTCGTTTTAAATAACGGATCTTGGATACACCGCTGCATAATTTCTTCACAAAATTGAATTCAACGATCAAAATCATCCTCGTTCAATTCATGAATTAGCTGTTTTTTATAAGGATGCAAATTTTCAGCTTTCAGAGCTTTATGTACCGAAGTATGACTCATTCCTAGATTAATACTGAGCTGACGAGTTGATGTGTGAGGATATTCTTGAACACTCAAAAGCACATCCAATGCCATGTCCTCTGTTACAACTGATCTACGTCGACCAGTTTTAGGTTTATTTCCTGTTATTTTAGCTTTTACACATTCCTCAATAATGCACTTTGCATTTGTATATGTTACAGGAAATGAAGATGGCGAAAAAAGTTTTCTTGTAACTATCCACCTGGCTTCTTAGCCAAACTACGAACGATATAACATGTTCTCTTACATGGAGCTTTAAATATGTATGATGTTTTTGTAGGAAATGAGGATAGAGCTAGTTAGAGAGGAAGTCTTGTTTGACACTGTTCACGTCACCTTCCAACTCACCTTCGACAATAGAGCGTTCACCTTGGCTTCTCTCACACTCACAAGAGAAGAGAGACATCTTCCAATCAGCGCCTCCGTTCTCTTTGAGATCTTCCCTTTCTGTATTGTTTTTGGGTGAGTTTATCGTGTAGAAGTATGAAATAACCATTTTTCTAGCCTAGATTTTTATTACAAGCTGAGCTCTACCCGTGCTTTGCAACGGAAAGAGGACGAGGTTTTCTTAAATAGTTTCACTTTGGTTTAAAAATCCATAGTTCATTTTATAAAAAGAAAATTAATTGTATTACTTATTTGGTATGGCAACGTTTTTTTCTTTCAGGCGAGTAGTTAAAATTTCCTTGGCATCCTAGTTTGTTGTAGGCCTTGCCTGTTTAAAAATATTGTTACTCTAATTATGATATAATTTGAAAAGATCAATCTACCTAAAATTGAAGGTATAATTACGTTTAAGCTTGTTGTTATGTTTAAGGTCAACAGATCCTAGTGTAGCAATATAATCAATTAGGTCTACTACTGATGTTTCATAAGAACATAATCTTTCTCTCAAACTTTTTAACTAAATCCTATATACCTGTAGCTCGTTATATACAATTCACAGAATAGTTATTTTTGTAACTAGTGAGCAAAGTGCGGCTCGCGCGTAAAAATTTCTCTCGTGTGCAGCAATATCATTTGCGCTCGTGTTACACATTATATATTTCCTATAGTCACTATTAAGCATATAAATAATTAGCCTTTCAAACTATATACAACACGTTTTTAGGTTAGGTTAAACCCAAGCGTTGAACGGATTAGGAAACATTGCACCAGCTGATTGTAGTCGTAGTATCATTAAGTAAGTGTTGAGTACACGTCGTATAAACGGGAATATTCAGTATAAACAGAATAAACAAGTATGTAAAGAGGTAATTTTTGCCAAGCAGTTTTAACACTCTCAAACCAACAACAAGCAAATTAACAATAATTAATTAAAACTGAAATGAAATGTCAATAACACATTTTCTGACACTTTTGTTACCGGTACTTTTATACTGACGCACCATGATGAAAACAGTTCATAGGCTCGTTCATACTTTTGTTTGGATTTGTTTCTGCTATTTCTTCTGGTGTGCCAAAAATATATTCGTTATCACTTTCACTTCGTTCATTCATGTCATTACCACTTTCCACTTAATTATTCTTTCAAATAGGATGAAATAGGTTATGTTCAAACCAAGCGTTGAACTAAAATAGGAGGTAATTTTTGCCAAGCAGTTTTAACACTCTCAAACCAACAACAAGCAAATTAACAATAATTAATTAAAACTGAAATGAAATGCCAATAACACATTTTCTGACACTTTTTTTACCGGTACTTTTATACTGACGCACCATGATGAAAACAGTTCATAGGCTCGTTCATACTTTTGTTTGGATTTGTCTGGTAACAGATTTAAACTTACGTGTTTAGCAGTTTCTGCTATTTCTTCTGGTGTGCCAAAAATATATTCGTTATCACTTTCACTTCGTTCATTCATGTCATTACCACTTTCCACTTAATTATTCTTTCAAATAGGATGAAATAGGTTATGTTCAAACCAAGCGTTGAACGAAAATAGGACAAAAACTATAAACACAAGTTTAGTCAGTCAGCTGATGTTAATATTATTATCTTTAAGTGTTGCCAACCTATTTCCAAGCGTACACGGATTACGTGCATAATAAAACCACGCTGTTTTGTGTTGTATGGTTGGAATCCTGATGTGCGCCAAAGTGTAAACCGTACGACAAAGTAAGTAAGTGCAGCAATTAGCAGCTTTCTGTACTATAAACAGTGCAAGGAAACCAACTGTATGGGGTGACTATAGGAAAAACTATTAGAAAGATTCTACAGAACCTTTTACTACCTTCCGTTCACAAAACATAATCCTCTTACTAATCATTCTATAAGGCCAGGTTTTCTCAATTAATTAATGTAAACTTTGAAAGCCTGTAAGGAAATCCCTAAGATATCGGCCTTTGGGGCAGAGCTGTTAGGGAATTAGCTTATACCAATGGTTGTAGGCAAATCTACACACTCTTCCTTTTGATGCGAAACATGCCTATATTGATTTGGTTAATGACCTTAATCGATGACCACAAATTTGACTGTACCACTTTAATAATATGATGAATTCTGAAAGTTTTAGTGATCTCATGGTTTTTAACCTTGTGAGTTATGGTTTTGGAAAGAGTTTGTTGTATGAACCAATGTTTTTATGGACAGGTCTGATATGGTGGTCCGAAGTATCGGCAATTCTCTCATGGTGATATTACCTGATCTCGTGGGCAAGAAGATAACCAACTGGTTTGACCTCGTCCGACCTCTTATCGCTTTCAAATTCCAATCTGTAAGTAGATGAACAGTTTTGTACCAACAAATTTAAAAACACTTTTTTACTTATTGTTATTATTTTTGTTTAAGTGGTTAAAGATACGAAGTTGAAACTTTTCACAATTATTAATGACAACTATGCAAAGCTAACAAAAATTATGACAATGCTTCAAAAATGTTAAACAAAATGGCTGCTATTTAAAGTTTTGTTTCTTAAATAACTCATTGACAATAACAACAGTTGATTTTACAAACATTTTAAATGGCTGCCATTCTGTTTTGTGAATTTGAAAATTTGTCATAATTTTGTGATAGCAATTCCTAGTCGTCATAAATGTTTATGCAAAGTTTCGATTTCTTATCTTTTTAGAAACAAATACCACTTTTAAAAATAATAAGTAAAATAATGTAATTAGCGGAAACATTAGTCACCCTATTAAACTGCATTAAATAAAATTCTGTATCATAAACTAAATTTGTTGATGAGTTCTTGAGTAATATGTATATGATAAATATTTTGTTTCATTGAGGTATGAGTAGTCTCCGGATTGCGAATAATAACTAATGATAGTGGTTTAAATACCTTATTCTGGCAATCCAATTGTTGAGTCTAGACTAGACGCACCTTCCGCATGATCAAAACGGGTCCGCTCGTCGAGTTTGATGTTTTATTTTGCAACAGTTCATAAAATTTTGTATAATTAAATAATATATAAATAGCCTATTACCAGTCAATTAAGCCTAACAGCCTATTTTAAATATATTATGTTTACAATCTATTTCAAACACAAGCTAAAGTAAAAATAATTCTATATATATCTAAACAAAATCTCAAAAAGTAATTTACCCAAATTAAATTGCATATACTATTAATGGCCTGAGTGACTAAGAATTAACAGTGAACTTCAAGATCTAGAAGACCTGAATACATTGTTGCTGAAAAACATGTGAGGTAACAACTGGATTTCCTCCTTCTTCTACCATGAACTAGCCTGGGTGAGAGTTTAAAAACTAGTTTGTATGTATGATTTTTATATTATAATATTTTCTAGTAAAAAGTGAAAAGCTAAACCAAAATAGTCTAATTATTTTAAATAGTTTAAACAAGAAGAAATGGGGAAACTTGGAAGAAACTTGGTAATCTCCATCTTATTATTACAGACTATCCTATTTAGGTGATGGACAGTTTGAGAACATTAGCCTACTTTTGAGGTGGATCGAGTAGCCTCATAGCTGTTAAAATTTATACAGCCTAAAATCAAAAGTAAAGACTTTTGTTTTAAAACAATCTTATCCAAATTCGATATAAAATTATTTAGTAAAAAAAAATCAAAGGCTAACTTTATTATCATTAAAAAAAGTTTCAAATTAAAAGATTAGCAAGGAAATTGGTAATTAAAGAGAGTTCGAAACACTAACCCTAAACCCTGAGGTTGCATTTTATCGGCCGTATGTGTGCGCGCGTTATGTATTTGTTCGTGTGTTTTGTGTAAGTGTATACAGTATTTGCGGGACCATCAAGTAGTCTCACAAACCTCGGAAGTTCCTATATCACCTAGAATAAATAATTTTAATCAATAGTTTATTTACAGTAAATGTTTGAAAAAAAAACAATAAAAAATGTTATTTAGAGAGAAAGAGCGAGGTCGAAGTCAGCACACATTCTTGTGTTAGTCGTAATTAAAACAGGATTTCATTCAAGAACTTACGCTAAAAGCTTCCTTTTGACAAAAACCGTTTTCTCCAATAACTTACTCTCTTTGTTTTTTTCTTTGTCTCTTAATTTTATTTTTTCATTGTTATAGTATTTTTCTTCATTAGGGCACAAAGTGGCCTTTTCGACTCAATCTCAAGTTTGACGATGGAGGCGAAGCCGAGGTTGGAAAATGAGCGAGGATTGAAACGACACTTTCTGCCCGTGTGATAAACTATATTTTCTGTCATATTGCAACGTTATTAAATTTAACGAACTGAGTGACGAAGAAACGAAAATATTTTTCAAGGACAGACAACCTCTCAAAACAACTTCCAACTTGTTTTTGATTTTGCTAATGCAAACAAGCAGCTGTTTAGTAAGAGTTTTGATTGTTTAATCCATTACCATTGTCTTAGTGCATGTTTTACTATCGATATGTCGAACTATTTTAAAAAAAATGCATCAATAAACTACAACCATAGATAAAACATACGGTTAGTTTATGCTACAACCAATGTAATCAGTCGATACATGATTTCGATGCATACGATTGCTTATAATCGAAGTTTAGAACAGCTGACTTGTACTCCCTAAGGACTGTTCAACTTAAGCTGTTGGTAGTTGTTCTAACTAATAAAAACAAACTAATTAATAATGCGTGTGTGTCGAGAAGAACGTTCTAACTACTTCTACGGAACACTATACTATGACAAAATCTATAACAATCTGTAACAGTCTAAAAAATAATGTTAAGGATAGAAAGCAACGTGTCTAAATAGTCAACAATTAACAGTGTAGACGAACGGAGCTCCGATAAATCAACGCTATTGTTTATGTGATGCCAAATGCACCGGATGCAGAGTGGCAGCATACATCACATATCTAACACAATATGAGATAAGAGTGTATAACTCTCTCAAACATTTCATATTGTTACTGTTTAGAGTTAACTTCAGATTACTCAATGTACACTCGAGTAAGATATTGTTAACAATGCGTGTCAAAGAAATAAAATTCCTATGTTTATATATTTATATACAGGGTGTCTCACGAGAGGTGTCTCAAATTGATTACGGAAAAACGGCTTAACGTACAAGGATGAAATACAATTATTTCCCGCTAAATCGACCCCAAGGAATAACGTAAAAATATTTTTAACTTTTTCCCAACACAGGGTGTGCCAAAAACTGAGGGTCACTAGTTCGAATCTCGGAATTTTCAAATGTAAACATATGTCATGTTATACATCATTTTAAAGGTATTTGATAGACAAACATTTTGGCGAAAACAGAAATAAGTTATCTTTTTCCGTTTCAAAATGGCGGCAGTTTTTTTTTGGAAAAAATCTATATTTTTTTAATACTCTCTGTTTCCTATACCAATGCATTTATCCCTTCTCCGGTTGAATTTTCTTACTCGTTATGAAATTAGCTTTACTTTGATATGCTACAAGTAACGGTTTGTTGAAATTATAAAAATTCCAAAAAAAATTATTTTTGAAAATTTGCAAATGCTCATTTTTTTTTTTAATTTCAAATAGCAACATATGTCAAGTGGCACGTCATTTTATAGGTTTTTAATTCCTAACAACTTTGTAATTTACACTTACTTCGTATCTCTTTTAGTTTTTTTCGTAATTAACAAAAAAACCTAATTTTCCTATATCAAATGCATGTAATTTGGGTTTGACGTGGTTTGACACTTCATCAAATTGGGCCTTTAGTGTTAAACGGCAGTTACGAAAGAACTCCTATTTGAAACTTAGTTCAGTTAAAAGTTGTGGATTTAAGGTAAGGGGCTTGTTTGTGACATGGGATCAACCAACAGGAAACTTATGTCTCAGTTGAGCATAATATGGACGGATCCGTCGATTAACAATCCAGTGGATGAAACTAGGAATATTTGGGCATTCTGTGATGTTCCTCACGCACTAAAAATATTCCGAAATCATTTATTCGATGATGGTTACATCCTCAAAAGTGGCGAGCTTATGACAAAAGAGTCATTTGTTAAATTAATCGAAAAGGAAAGTGGTGAAAAGATTGATTTGAAGTGTGCATATAAGCTAACCATGAAACACGTCCTCGTTGTTGGTTCTGAGAGGCAAAACGTCAGAAAAGCAGCAGAGCTGTTATCCGCGACCACTGGGAAAGCAATGGCCCATCATTACCCTGCATTCACTCATGTAAGCGAAGCGGTCATGATTGTGAATGATGGGTTTGATGTTCTAAATAATGATTATCAACTCAGAAACTTTGCAGAATATAGTTTATTCAAAGGATAAAATATTAAATTGAAACAAAATAGCTACAGATCCTCTTGAAATTAGTAATTTGTTTAGTCCGTATTTTAAGTTATCAATATTGTGGAGAACCAGTCTGTTAATGCGCCCCTCTGTACCCAACAGATGTTCGGAGATATCCATCATTAACCAGCTCTGTAACTGGCTTAACCTGTATCGATATTCAAGAGATTTTCCATTTAAAACACTAATAAATACAAAGTTATAGATTCCTTTCAAAATAAACTATTATCCAGCCATGACGGTATTCTGATTAAAGTCATAAAATGTGTAAAGAAATTAGCTTAGTAAAATTTGTTTACATTAAAATACTCCTCATTAAAAAGTTGCATCTTTTCAGACCATTTAAAAGTTGCTTGACTTATTCCTATTCCAAAATAAAATTATGCTACAGACATTGGTAATTAAAGACCAGTACCCTTGCTATCAACAATATCCAAAATTGTACTGCCCTGCTAAGCACAGTTGTGGTAACTGACATCTGGGTAAAATTGAGAAAATAAGGGTAGTATATTTAAAACTATGCCCTACAGTCAAAAATTGACTTAAAACAAGTTTTTTGGTCACATCTTATGTATTTTTTAACGCTAAATCCTTTTCCAAAATTATTTTTAACATGAAAATATTCTAAATACTTAAGAAATTAGATAATGCTTTTGTTCTTATCAATTACAATCAAATATACTTGGCCATATAGTGGCAAATTAATTTTCCTAAGCCAATATGTTGTATCTCTGCAGATGCCACAAACTGGTCCAGCAAAATCATGGTTATTGTTTCAAATGCAACAAAATATAAGGTTCTCAAAATAAACAAAATTTCTGGATTGAAATATTTTTGATACTATGATTCTGTTTTGGCAACAAGTTGTTGAATTGTTTTTTATGGGGGGTTGGAGAAGATACTGGTATTTAAATATATATGAATTATACCATTAGTGATGTTATTATTGTTATATGATTAATTAATCTTCCCCCTTAAATTGTTCAACTACCTACTAAAACTTTTCTCAAATAAG